AAATGAAAAAGTAAAAAAGTTAAAAAATATTTTCAGCTTCCTCCAAAGACCTGCTTTTCAAGTCCTCTTCTCAATAAGAAATACCCGATTGAGATATCCTTTCTTTTCCTGATCATTTGAGGAACTTATCCATTCTTAATCTTGATTTCCTTCTTGTGTACCATCTGAGGAGACTTATTGCCTAGTGGGAGCCTTTACTTCCAGGACATACTTGGTTCCAACCTTCTTTGGGTAGTGATTTTTTATCCACCTGCATTAAGCAGACGATTTATAATGGACCCTAGATTCTTATGTGGCCTAAAAAAAATTTTATAATTGATATTAGATATAAGTTTTATTAAGATTTAATTTAATAATACTAATAGATATTAGATTTTCAAGGTTAATATTAATTATCTTTATATATTATATATTATTATATAACTATAGATTAATTTTAGTTAAATTTATTATTATTCAGAAAGTAGACAAATTCAACTAAGAATCAAATAATTAATATATAATTATTAATTGCAAATTTTGATTAGTTAATATTGGGCTTATAAATTTTTTATTGTTTATTAATTTAATTTGATTATATATTATAATAAACTGATAATTTTGAAAAAACTCTTTCTATTAATTCTTTGACTATACACAAAAAAGATGTTAATAAGAAGTTTTTTTACTTCTTTACTAATAAAATCATAATATTTTTATTAAAACAACTTGAAGTATGATGACAAGAATCATTTTTATACTTTCCCTCTTGTTTACAAATCTTTTCACTCAAAAATTTGACTTATAGTAGCCAAAAAAGTCAAATAATACCTTTGATACCAATGGCAAGAAAGTTTTCAAAGGAAAAAGAACTAATTGTGAAATACTTGAAGACCTTTTCAACCTTTTAAACAAAAGGTTATAGAGATTTTCTGTATAAAAAGATTTATTTTCTTTTTTTTTGACTATCTGTACCCTTTTAAAACTTTTATTTTCATAGTTTTCTAGAAAATTTTGCCTACTTTAATTTGACACTAAATTTTAGATAGTACAAATACTCATTAAAGATAATTGACCAACATAAAATACTTAATTTTTAAAATATAAACAAGTTTTTATTGATTATACTTATATGTCTTGATAATATTATTGATAATTGAAAAAAATGTTCAAAAAATTTTCATCCTCTAGAAACTCAAGTCTTTTAAGAAAGATATTTATGATATCAAAAGACTAAAAGATGGATAATGTGAATTACAAATTCTTATTTCTTTCTTAAGCTTATCAGGTAGTAACAAAGCTTTAATGAACAAAAGTTAAGGTTTAAATACTTTTCTTGAAATAACTTAATCTGATGCTTACTTAAATAAAAAATTAATTGGATTAACTCATCTGATATCATAAGTGATAATAAAAAAAATTTCTTCTAAAGCTCAAGAAAAACAAGAAATTATCTTAATTAGGTAGATCTCTTTTGAAAGAAAAATTGCTTTCTTTTTGAACTTTTTTGATAGAACCTTAAATTATTTTTTTCTTCCAATTTCTTTTTTCCCTTTTTTCTTAATTTAGCAATTTATGGTTTATGGGCAATATACAATAACAAACTATTGACAATGAACCTAGTGAATAGAAATTATTTATCAATCTTCTAGGAGAGTAAAATATTGTTCTCTAGATCTAACTTAGAATACTTCAGTGCAATAATGAGTTAGTCATTATATAAAAATTTATAATAGTATAGATAATTGCAAATTAAAAAAATATATATATTGTAGTAGATTGATTAACAAGTCTGTTATCAATAATCAAGAACTCATATAACCTATTAATAGAAAAGTTTAATTTTTCTATCACACAAATAAAATACAAATATAGAGATAAAAAACATTTAAACAAGTCTTAAAAAAGTTTTTTTTAAGTTACTTATAATCTCATTGTTATAATATTTATTAAAAGATTTATTATTAAGTTATTGAAAAAGATTATATTTATATCTTTTTACATATAAGACCATTAGACTATTTTAATATTATATATGTATAAATTATTTTATTATTGGCTTATAATATTTTATCTTTTTGTTATAAATAAATTATTTATATATTTTTTTATCTTGTAAAAAATATAATAACAATTAGTAATTGATTGTTTTATATAAGTTTTTATTATATTATAATTATAATCACAGGATTACAAGACTTTTTTAACCTTTAATAATATATATTTATAGGATTTACATATTCTTTAATATTCTTAAATATTATTTATTTAAATTTTGAAAGGAATAATATTGTCTTTTTTGTTATCATTTGTAGTATTAAATTAGTTTTTATTGATTGATTTTATTTAAATAAAATATCAGATTGAAATATATTAAATTAGAAAAATAGGAATCTTGAAAATTATCAAATTAAGCAAAATAGAATAGTTATATTTAATTAAATTAAAAACTTTTCTTTATATAATTTTTTTAATAATATAACTATATATTTTAGTTTTTAATTAATAAAAGATCAATAGTTTCATTTTTATATAATCTATCCATTTAAATTTTGATTCAAATAATTGAATATGACTTTTATAAAATAATTGATAAACCTAATCAAAAAAATAATTTTATAATTTGATTATTAAATAATATTAAATTATAGATCTTATAATTATAATCTGAAAACATTATCACTATATTATTACTGTAATTCATAGGTCTCAAATTTATAAATCTATATATTCTTTTTTAATAATTTTATAAATTAAAAAATTTTTTCATTATTTTAATTATTAAATTTTTATAATTTTTTTTTATTTTTAAATTAAAATTTTATAAAACTATAATATTAAAAATATATGAAATATATAATTTTTTATAAAATAATTTTTTTCAAAAGCAAGTATATTAAAAAAAGGAATATTTGGTATAATAGTATAAAAAAATAAATATAATGTGAAATAAATTATGTGGCGGGACAGCAAGCCACACGTCCAGATCCAAAGGGTAAGTCTAAAGATTCATAATTACTTTTGAATTATAATGCTACAATTATACATATTCAATAGATGCTTTATTTCACTTTTTTGTATGGTAAAGTAGAAACACCAAGACAGGCTTCATATATCATACTTTTTTCTAATAATTAATATTATCCCGAAATTCAAAGGCTATCTTGTCTCTCCATTGTTCTAATTTTTCTCGCGACATTTGGCATTTGTTGTAAAAGGGTATCTATATTAAATTAATTTTTAATGACAAATTCTGAAAACAGAAATCGCTGGCTCTGACATTTTTTGGCATTTAAGTGCCTTGTGATTTGATTTTGACGGATCCATAAGGCTTGAACAAGAACCTTTTTTAGATGTCCATCTATTTTAAGTCTTAAGTGCATAACTTGTTTAATACAGTTTTTTCTCCATTAAATGAAATCTTGAATTCCTTTAGTGGTTTTTCGAGAAATATTTTAGATTATAACTAGAATGCGGTCTCCATTTTTTACCAAATATTGCATAATAGCGACGTTCATTTTTCTTTTAAAGCTAGCATCAAAGTCTTTACGACTTATCGTAGAAGATGCGTGAACGCCCGAAGGAAATCTAACGCAATAACTTTTGGGTCACCTGATGAATCTGATAAATACATAACTCGTACGCGTAGATTGCTTTGTTTATTAAAAATGGACTTGAAACCCGAATGTCTGAGCACTCTTAGGTACCGCGGTAAGACAAACTTTGCCAGTGATTCCTTAAGATAACATTGTAACTTTTTGTTTGTGGATATATAGCCTTCTGGAAAAACACAAATACTCCTTCGCTGAAGAAGTTTTTAGATTTCCGACATAACATGGGTGATTTGGAAGACCCAGAAACGGAACACAGTCGATACAATCGTGAACTAAATAATATTATTATGTACTATGATAAAACAACTGAAATCGGAAAGATGGCCCTAAAGTGGAAAGAAGATTTTAAGGCGAGTGTATTTATGTTATTTATCCATGAGTGAAAGGCTTTACCAACGGACTGCTTTGTGAGTTGCTTGCTCGCACGGACACCTTATGAGTTGCTTGCTTGTAAGGCAAGAGTTGCTTGCTCGTCCGTTAGTTAGTCTTCGGATTGCTTGTTCGCACAGACACCTTGTGAGTTGCTTGCTTGCAAGGCAAAAGTTGCTTGCTTGTCTGTGGTTTGGTCATGCCGTGTAACTTTGCATGCTGTATTTGATCAAATCTACATTCTGTTTATAATCTGCTTTTCTATGAAAAGAATAATAAAAAGAATAGGTCAGTAAAACTCTTTTGGAATCTACATGACATTGTTACGGAATCCGAGATGCTTGATGCAAAAGCCCGAATGCAGTGGGTATGTTGTCTTTACAAGAACCATCTCTAATCTAATATTTACTAACTCTTTACTTTTGGTTTTAGAAAGAAGGGATGGTAAATTTCGAAGGAATAGGTCTCCGCCATCTTCAAGAAACTTCATCCATCGTGCAAGAAAAACAAATTCTAAACTATACATCTTATAAGCGGAGTGCCTCGAAAGTTGATGGAGAAGAAGAAACAATCCCTAGGACGTTAGCAAAAAAGGTGAGATCACGAATGATTTTTTAAAGTTGCTTCAGGCAATAAATGGCACATTAACAAATTCTATGGAATTGATCGGATATGCTAGAAAAAAGTGAACATCGAAGCTATTCACGAGAAATCAAACGATAATAATGAGTCCAATAATTCAGAAGAGAGTGATGTGAGTCTCACAGAAGTATGTTATCTTTATGTATAATAACTCACTCGGGAAAAAATTACTTTCTTTCAAACTAATTTCCTGCGTCTAGACGCGCGATATTATCTTGTCACATAATAGTGCTCGACGTGATATTCTATCTCATTCAATATTTTTTTCCTTATCTATCTAATTTTGGATGTACGCATAGATTCAAAAAATTAGTGGAGGTCAAGTTACGGACTATTATTGGGAAGAGGATGATGCCGAATCCATTCATATTAATATAGGTATTGAGGATCTTAACGAGGTATTATGGCATTTGTTGCTTTTTATATAAGTATTGCGTATTGATGTCCAATAATGTAGGAGATAAATTCTTTGAACACTGAAGAGACAGAAATTCGGAATGCCTTACTTGCAGTTCTCGATAAATCCAAATCCAAAGATAGTGAATTGGGGAAAACAGTCATGAATTCAAATTTAATGAACGGGATCGTTGATTTGACGGATGCAGATACGAAGAAACAAATCCGATCAATACTAGATGATGAACAGAGATTATGGCTCGAGTATGGATTGAAAAAGCAAGTTTGGACCGTAACACCCGAATTTGAAGCCTACTGTGGTCAATTTACCGAAGACACATGTAATCGTCGCCAGGTACCTAATTTGGTACGAAAAACCTTTGTAGCAGGGCGTTTTGATCCCTTCTTCCACGAAGGTCACGACGTCGCACAAGACATTATGAAGCATTTGTACGTATTGTTTATTTGAGGTAAAAAAATTTTATAAAGGATTACTAACATCGACAGTGAATAGTTCGGTACGCCTGGAAGCCCCAAACAGCTCAGAGTCGAAAGCATCTGATCTCGAAAGAACATTTGCAATTGATACGATTGTATATATTATGAACAGGCTATTTAAAATGCATCAGGATGTTCTGGATCTTGTTTGGTAAGTGTCAACTTTGAATTTCGAATATTAAGCTCCATTGCCTGTTGATATTCTTTTATTCAATGAAGGGTGGAAATAATCACTGCAAACACCAAGACTTGCAAGTTTGATGGTGTTGTGAGAAGTCTTCAAGTGGAAAAGAAAAATCCCCAAACAATAGGAATCGTCGAGTTCTCAAGAGGGAAAAAGGCCTCCAAAACAAAAGATATTGACGACCAAGTAAAGCTTGGCCGTAATGCGGTACGAGCATTAAATAAACTGCTTGAAAAAGTTCCTTGCAGAAAAGCGCGTGTATACACGATTCAATGTGTGAGTAAGTATTACAATAGAATACTGGTTTATAAAACAGTTATTGGTTTCATATTTTTTTTTCGTTTAAGATGGACGAATTCATATAAGATATATGGTTCGACCCCTTCCGTCAATCTACTTGTATGATGAATTTGCGTGCATCAAACTCCCTAGAACATTCGATGATATGGAACAATTCTCCATGGACATTGCAATTCTCATGGATTTTCAGGTAACAGATTAATATAATAAGTATTCATAGAAACCTAGCAAGTTAATGATAATGCTTCGTTTTTGTGGTTACAGACAGACGTATTAAAGACGGTCAAGTCCGTGAACAAAAGCATTGGAATCGAAAAAGTGTACAAATCTGAAATTCAACCTACACCGAAAAAGCAAAAGAAGACTTCACAAAAAGACCCTAAAGATGTATGACGTTTTGAGTAGACTATTGGCTGAGAATTTATATCCCAACTTCTAATGTCGGAACAAATTACTTAGATATGTATATTATGGGCTAAGGTAAAATAACATGAGTGCCAACTATCAAAATCTCTGAAGACTTCGATATAAAAAATTAAATAAAAGATATACTCGTATACTTTTGATAGTCTTCGTTAATTGCGCAGTGAGGGAAAATTCTCCAAGGCATCAATCATCCCGAGTGTTACATAAGAATATCCTATCAATAATTATTTTTGAATTGAAAGAAATATTTTGCATAGTATACAATCTAGCAAAGTGGACATAGCCTAATAAAGTGAATATAATCGAAGTGTCAGCTATTGCAACAAGAATCAATTAAAAGTACAACCTCGCTCGATGGACATATCTAGCTCAGCTAGTATACTTCTGAATTGCTAAAAGACCTTACAAATGATAGAAAGTAGAAGCGAGCACGAAGACGCCTTCGAGATAGTTTCAAATTCAGTGAGGACAGATAAGCACATTAATTCCTGCTTATAAAAAAGGTCCGAGTGAATGCGGTTATAACATTGCTGAAGATTGTTCTTCTATAGACTCAACAGTTACAGAAGACAATAAAGGTTAGATGTTAACAAATGTATGTACAATTAAAAAGGATTTAGATATGAAAAAATTTTCATTAATTGCTAATGCTCGAGTCTTGGTTGAAGTAGAAGCTTTAGGTATTTGAGAGCATTTAGAAAGAGAGGAGAATGTCACTAGTCAAAAATGTGTCATGTAGCTGAATTATTAACGAATTTGATTAAATTAATAAACATTGACAAATTCTTTTCAATTATTGTTATTTATTAATATTTGGCAAAAAATTGATAAAATCAAATTTGATAATAAATTAATAAAAAAATTTAAAAAAATTTTTGTTAAATTCAGAAAATTTTTTAAAAATACTGTAATAAAAAATTCAGCACAATTTGATAAAAAATTTATATATTGCAGTAAAAAATTAGATAAAAAATTACAAATTCATTATATTGTATCAAAAAAATTTTTTTTATAATTAAAATTTGACAATATTTAGAAAATTAATAATTTTTATGAAATTTTTATAAATTACAAAATCACTTAATTAAACTATTTGTTATTTTTTTTTTCTTTGCTTTTTTTTTTTTTTACAGATTTTAGTCTAACTTTTTTGATACTATTTAAATAATTTTATTTTTTAAATTTTATTAATTTTTATTTTTTTTTAGCTTTTAATTGCTTTCAAATTTTAGTTATTTATACATTTTTCTTAGTTTAATGTTTCTCATCTTTTAAATACATTAATTATTTCTTGTATTTGATAATTTTTTATT